CCCCAAAACCCCAAAACCCCAAAACCCCAAAACCCCATTATTGGGTGTAGCCATGGAAAATTTTGATGAATTTTAACATTCTAAATATCTAGGAATTTAAGAGTTGCTTTTGAAATTAAAATGTCTTGAGATCTTCATCAACAACGAAGATAGCTTCAGTCATAGCTCTAATTTCTTCAACAGTTGTGCCTTCAGCAATATCAGTGAGATGCATCTTTCTGAGCTTGTCCCATTGGAAGACTGCTTTTTCGGTGACAACAGCTGAAACTCATTTGTTTCCTGTTAACGGTAATGAGCACTCTCTAAGAATCTTTGGTCTTCCATTTTTGGTGCAGTGTTGCATGACAACGATTCTTCTCTTAGCTCCACCTACGAGGTCCATAGCACCTCCCATTCCCTTTACGACTTTGCCTGGGATAATCCAGTTGGCCAGATCTCCTTTTTCAGACACCTGCATACCTCCTAAGAAAGTAATATCAATGTGTCCACCACGAATCATGGCAAATGTCTCAGAAGAAGTCATGAAAGAACCTCCCTTCTTGATAGTGACAACCTGTTTTCCAGCATTAATCAAGTCTGGATCGACCTCGTGCTCGTATGGGAACTCTCCAAGTCCAAGAATACCGTTCTCACTCTGGAAATGGACTTCCAACTTTGGATCAAGGAAGTTCGTGATAAGAACAGGAATACCGATTCCTAGATTAATGTAGTTCTTGTCCTGGACAAACTGAGCTGCTCTCTTGGCAATCTTTGCTCTTATTTTACCAGACTCAGTCTTGAAGTATTCAGATTCTGAAGCATCTTCACCATCTTTTCTGATAGTATATTGCTCAATTGGTTTAACATAGTTGGTTCCTTTAACTAATCTCTGTACATAGATGTGAGGACACTGAATATGATGAGGATCTAACTCTCCTGCTGGGACGATATCTTCGACCTCAACAATGGCTCTTTTACTAGCTTTACACATATCTGAGTTAAAGTTCAAGGCAGTCTTGTTAAAGATAACATTTCCAAGAGTATCAGCAACATGCCCTTTGACAATGGCGTAGTCTGTGGTTAAGGAGTGAACCATGATGTATCTCATGTTGTTGAAGATCCTCATTTCCTTACCAATAGAGACTTCCTCAACTTCTGCACCTCCTGGAGCGAATTTCTTAACCATACCTCCATCACCGACAATACTTCCGACACCAGTCCTAGTATAGAAGGCAGGGATTCCTGCTCCACCAGCTCTAAGTTTTTCAGCGAAAGATCCTTGAGGAACAAGATTCACTTTTAAATCCCCACCAAAGTACTGTTTCTCGAAATTGAGGTTGTTTCCTGCGAAACTACAAGTGATCTCTCTGATCTGGTGGTTCATAAGAAGCTTATCAAGTCCATGACCATCAACACCAGCTTCATTAGAGACTGCGTGGATGTCCTTGGTTCCTTTCCTTACCAAAGCATCAATCAATTTCTCTGGAATACCAACTAATCCGAATCCTCCGAAGGAAATACTAGCTCCATGAGGGATATCAGCAATGGCTTCATCAGTAGTATCGTAAATAACTGCACTGAAGTTTCTTGCAGAAACTGGGACTGCTGTTTTCGTGACTCTGTGGCTGGTTCTGCGACCAGCTCTCCATACATTCATCATCATTATTTTTCCTTTTTAAATATATTATTCTTTACTTTGATATTTCAATTGGCAGGTGTGATTCGGGGTTTTGGGGTTTTGGGGTTTTGGGGTTTTGGGG